TGCCTATTTTGGTACTCAAAATTGTTGTTTTCAATCCTCTTAGTTAAAAAAAAATTTCGCGAGCCCCCCTCCACCTTCCATATTTTCGCTCCCACAAAATTGAAATCCTGGCTATGTCCCTGAAGTAATCGCCATTTAGTATAATCTAAAAACTGTATGTAACTATGCCGGTGGAAATTTTTTATATGTTCGCCGTGAATTTATGTGGTTTTCCTGCATCTGTTTATGCAATATAATGGATGTTTAAATTAAAATCTATGTTTTTCGATCCTGGGAGGTTTTAAACAAGAATTCTTAGTTTTTGTAAAAGTCTGAAATGTTACTCACTAGGGTTTTCAGCACCAGATAAAAAGACTCATTTTCTAGGCGATTTACTACCATGCTTATTATTTTTGGGTAAGTGTCGCGTGGAGGAAAGAAATTGAAATGATACGAGTAGGAATTTAGAGTTCACGTTGCTCATTTTAGAAAAGAATGAAAGGCTCGGAACAAAAATACTCATTCCTCGACCAATTTATTGCTACACTTATTCTTTTTGGGAATTCGTCCCATGGAGGAAAGAAGTTGAAATGATTGGATTAGGAATTCATGCTTAGTTTGGGAAAATGAATGGGAGAAATTGCTATTGTCCACAAGAATTTGTCACAATGATGTTTTTTACCTGCAAATGTTCTTTTCCCATTTGAGAGATCAACGAATTAACTTTTTACTATAGTTTCCTATAGGAGAATAAAACAAGCCAAAAAAAATTATTTCTAACCTCCTCCACTTCCATTATTTGGAGGTATTTTGGTGGATGTTTCTCAAGCCTAAGGACAGAGAAAGAATTCCACATAAGGCTCCTCCACTACTTCTTTCAATCGATAAATAGATCATCGGTTTTCATTTTTGTCATCCCGACTAGTGAAACATTTAGATTCTTTTTTTAGATAAAATATTTTGCATTTATAGGTACCATCATTCTTATCACTAGAATTGAATTGAGATTGCACTTCACTTATTTTTAAACGAAAATGTCAAGTATAAATTAGCAAGCTCAATTATGGAGCTGAGTTTAAGAATAACAAACAAGAATGAGTTTGAACTCACTGTTGCATGTTTGATAGACATGCGAGTTTGAATAAATTATTATATCATATCAGACAAAATTAAATTTTTAGAGTTTTGCTATACAAACATAATGCTTGACATATAGGATGACACAACACACATACATGGGGAGGTCGGCATTATTTAATTCAGGTCGGGACCCACATGCAATGTGAGTGGTCGGTCAACCCCTATGTCAAGCATTATGTTCATTTAGTTTAATTCAAATTTTTATTTATTATTATTACCTTACAATCATGTTATTATTATTATTACTTTCTAACAAAAATTAAATTTCAAGGAGTCCTTTTCTTTTTTACTTTGAATTAAAGAAAACAATATCCTGTTATTTATTTATAATTTATAAATATTTCTTGCATTAAATATGTTCTTAATTAAACACTATAGTGCTACTTTAAATACCGTAATGATGATTATCTGATAGACNCAGCTCCAAATGGAGCCCGGAATCAGTGGCTTTTTTCCCATATTATGAAGCAATAATCTTTGGAAGATTAAAAATTTTCGAAGGTCACTTTTTTCCTCTACTTTAGATTCATTGGGGATAAATGAACTATTTGGTGCATCTTTCTCGGTTATCACCATCCGAAGTTCGGCTCGGCCAACGAGTAACGAGCCAAGCAGAAGCTTGACTCGTTATAAACGAGCCACGACTCGTCACGAGCCGAGTTTGTGCGCTAGCTCGACCCATTGCCACATCTAGCTGGAACATATGAATTCCTTTGTTTTGGAGTTATGAAGGTTGTGTACACATTTTTAATACAAGAATCTAGTGGCCTGCTCTTATCCACTTGTTTGCAAGTTTTAATACAAAATTGCCCAGGTCCTATACTTTAAAGGTCACTTCAATTTCTTTTTATTTTTGTCTTCTGGTCTTTGGATTTATAGTCCTTATACCAAACTTTCTTGCGTGGAAATTGGACAACTTGTTGCTTAATTTTGGACCTACCATTAATTTAAGTTGTTGGCTTTATACATTATGAATTTTGGACCTACCATTAATTGAAGTTGTTGGCTTTATACATTATGAATTTATTAATTAATTTTGTGCCTATTGATTTGGGTTTAAGGGTTTTGTTGGAACAAAATATATCTATATAGGTTTTTCGGTGCCATTTAGATTGACTTAACCACGATTGATCGTCTCGTATTTGTAATTCTATTCTTTGTTCACGTTAAATTATTGATCTTTGGATATCCATAAAAAAACTAAAAGGATAATCAACATTGGTTCAAGTAGTCAGAACACAAATGATACACACGTTTATTTATTGATTATTAAAATTTAACTCAGAAAACTAAATTTATTCTTGTAATATTCTCTATCGTACTAAAAGAACTAAGCTCCAAATTAGGTCAAATAATTTCTTAAAAAATATGTGTTCAATATTTGATTATAAAATGTTGAAAAAGCATAGGTCCCCGAACTATTTTCAGCGACGTAATATACACAATTAGATATTAATTTGAATTAAATTTCTTTTGCATCTTACTCAGTGCTAAAATGTACAGAAAACTGGACCTAGAATTCCAATAGGGGCCTTAAAAA